TGACCCATATCTCAACCCTGCTCCCCCCACTGACCCATATCTCAGCCCTGCCCCCTCCACTGACCACACCCCAGCCCTGTTCATTTTGACGAAATTTTCAAATACACACTAGTTTCATAGACTGCAGATAACTTGTGTTCACTTAGTCACCAGGCGCTGGTGTTCTTCCTACCTCCTCATCACTGCCCCTCCCGCCCTTTAAGAACAGTGGTGTGATTGTCTCTATGCCGAGGTGGCTGCTTTTTCAGTCAGAGGACTGGAGCTGTGGGTGTTTGGAGTTGAGCTGCCTTTTGGGATCAGCTTTCCTTGTTGCCGTAGGGCAGAACTTTGAGGGTCTGATCTACTGTGTCACACCAGGTCTGAATGTATTCTTTATTCTTCCTCTGGCATTGCGATCCATTTATCATGAGTTTTCTTTTATACATTTCTATTGGTTGTGGGAAAGTCTACTTCATCCATATACACTTTTAACATTAGAACATGGGAGTGTTTTCCTGTATTAATGTCTTCATGGAACTTTTGTTAAGAGAGGATGTGTTGCTCATGCCGTGTGAGGCATTGAGGATGCAAAGCTGATGAAGTTTCAAGAAAGACACAGTAGACTGGGTGTGGTGCATACACACACCTTTAATCCCAGCACTGAGGAGTTTGAGGTAAGCCTGGTCTACATAGCTAGTTCCAGAGCTACATAGTGAAACCATACTGAAAAAAAAAAAAAAGTTTTTGGGGCTGTAGGGATGATTCTATGGTTAAGAGTAATGGTTTCTGTTCCAAAAGACCTGGATTTGATTCCCAGCATCTACATGGCAGCTCACTACTGCCTATAATTCTAGGTCTGGGGGACATCCCACACCCTCTTCTGATCTCCAGTGTGGTGCCCAGACATACATTCAGGCAAAACATTCATACACATACAGGCTTTCAATACTGTCTAGCAGTTTAAGTAAATCTTTAAATTAGTTTTAATTACAATTTAGTAAATATCAATTGCTAGAATAAGTCAGCATCTTGGGATCTAAATTTATTTCTTTTTAATTTTGAACTAGGGCTCCCTACATATTCCTGGCTGGTTTCAAACTCAAAGAGATCCATACCTGCCTCTGCCTCTCAGTGCTGGGATTAAAGGCATGCACCACCAATGCTTGGTAACAGAATGGAACATTTTAGCACAATCTAAAGATACACTAATTCGGGTACTTAACATGCTGAGGAGTAACAGTAGGAAATAACCAAGTGTTTGATTTCCATAATTAAATCATTATGTTTATAAGAGCTGAAAGCCTGTATGTACAGTGAAAGACTTGCAATTCATAACATGCAGTATTTCAGGCAGCATGGTGACAGTGGGGTCTTGCACAGCTCTTGCAGTCTCCTGATGCAATGCAGTGTATGCTGCAGCAACACCTAGGATTCATTCGGTCATTGCCAATTAATATGTGGATGCTGCATGTTCACAGACCTTTTACTGTTGCCAGTTTTTCTGTGATTCTCCAGAAAAGCCATATATGGAGTCATTTAAGAAACTGGGCTCTAGGTGCTGGAGAAAGGGCTCATCAGTTAAAAGCACTGGCTGCTCTTCCAGAGGACCCTGGTTCAATTCCCATCACCTACATTGCAGCTCACACCTATCTGTAACTCCAGTTCCAGGGCTTCTAACACTCTCACACAAACATACATGCAAGCAAAACACCAATGAACATGATAAAAATAAGTTATATATAAAAAAGAAAACTGGGTTCCAGAGAATTTTGTTAAAATCTTATTCCTAGCTTCCTATGTTTGAAAATAGGTAAATTTTAGCTCATTGTAGTATGATACACCCCACATGATAAATTGGACAAAAGTAAGAGGGCTTAGGGACCATTTCTGTGTATGGCACCAGTGTGCACATTGGCATGTTCATTCAGGTATATATGTAGAGGGAGATTGTAGGTTCAAGGTCTGCATTGAGCTACTTATGGTTTTAAAGAATGTAAACAGGACTGGAGAGGTAGCCTATTGGTAGTCACTAGGGGATTTTCCTAGTGAGGTGCTGGGGTCAGCTTCCAGTCTGAGGGGTGTGGGGAATGGAAAGATAAACCATAAATCTGATTGATTGGGTTTTTGGCAAAGGGTCTCATGTAGCTCAGGCTGGCTCCAAATTTGCTATGCAATTGAGTATGACTTTGAAATCATAATTCTCCTGCTTCCACCTTCTAAGTGCTATGATTGCAGGTGTGTTGCACCATGCTGTGAAAATAATACTTGTCAACTTAATAGAGAGTTGGTGTGTTTTTTAAGACAGTGTCTCACTATGTAGACCAGGCTAGCCTCAAACTCAGAGATACTTCTGCCTCCAAGTGCTGGGATTAAAAACATGCTCCACCATACCCTGTATTGGTCTTGACCAAGGCTGACATCATGAGTATGTCATCTGTGTAGTCACCCAGGGCTCCTTACTGAAGGAACAGTGCTTAATTTAATACTAACTCATCCTCTGTCTTGGAATTCTTAATTTTTGAAGAGTAGCTCTGCATCATTCATTGATTTATTGATTCCCCCCCCCCACCCCCGACAGGGTTTCTCTGTGGCTTTGGAGCCTATCCTGGCACTCACTCTGGAGACCAGGCTGGCCTCGAACTCACAGAGATCTGCCTGCCTCTGCCTCTCGAGTGCTAGGATTAAAGGTGTGTGCCACCAACACCCAGCTCCATTCATTCATTTTTGAGACTGGGTCTCAATTGTGTAGCCCCGACTGGCCTCAGACTCACAGAATCATGTTCCGCTGCCTCCTGGGTTCTAGGATTAAAAGTGTAAGCCACTATGCCCAGCTTGCTTACTGAAAATTCCTTTGAAATTTATTTTTCATTACTTTTACACCTGTGTGTGGGTATGTGCACACGAATGCTGGTGCCTACAGAGGCCAGGGCATTTGATTTCCTCAGAGCTGTAGTTAGTAGCTGCTGGGTAAGCTGCCTGATGTTGGTACTGGTACTCGAATTTTGGGTCCTCTGGAAGAACAATACTAAAAATTTCTTTCTCTAGCACTAAATATTCTTATGATGATAAAGATTTACTTTTAGGATTAGCCAGCTGGACTGTGGTGACCATGGCTTTGTTGGCAGTGTCCAGAGAATCCTGGTCAGCAGCCAGATGGATGGATGCTGCCTTCCTCCAATAGGCTGGACCCAGGATGTTGACCTTGGTGATGTCAGTGTTAGCACAGCTTCCATATCCTGTTTGATCTGGTGCTTGTTAGCCTTGACATCTGCACTGAGCTAAGTGTCATTGTCTTCTCTCTCTCAATGATCAGGGGACACCTCGTGGTGGCATGGTGGTTAAGCTGGTTTTTCCTGTGGGATAATTTTCTAAGGCCTCTGTAACTACAGTGGTAATGGGCCGCCAGAATGCAGACAGACAGGTGGACTGTTCGGTCTGCGTTCTTATCCTCTAAGCTTTGCTTTGGGTTTAGACATTTCCTTTGAGAACCATCTTGGGGAAAGGGGCTTATATTTTGTTGTTGCTTTTAATTTTTTTTTTTTTTTGAGATAGCTCTGGCTATCCTGAGGGGTCCTGCATCTCTCTCTCTCTCTCTCTCTCTCTCTCTCTCTCTCTCTCTCTCTCTCTCTTCTCTTCCTTTCTTTTTTCTTTCTTTCTCTTGGTACTATATCCTATAAGTTATTTAGTTAGCTTGATCTTGAATATATAAACCTACTAATAAGGAAAAGGTGTCAGATTTTTAAAAATGGTCTAAAGCTGAGAAGAATGGAGTACGGATCCTCAACATAAAAGTTTTTAACCTTGTTAGATCTTCAGCCTGTTTATTAAGTGTGTGTTATAAGCAGTCAAATGCCATACTCGTAGTAAACAGGTAACATTATCCATCTTGAGTAATAAATACTTTGTCTTCAACCTTTTATTTTTCAGTTTGTCTCCTAATCGGAAAAGGTCTTCATGAATACTTCTGTTAAACACAAGTAATGTCACACATTCCTAAAAGACTAAAATGGGGGCTGTTGTTTTGAGGTAAGTGTCCAGTTTTGTAGACTTTATTTCTTAGTCTCTTACAAAGTTGAATGTAGAAGGGAAGTATGAATATTGGTTGGCTTCTAATTGTTTTCTATAGGGCTTATATGGGGCGGGGGCAGTCCTGGGCCTCTCTTTAAGGTGGACTGGAGATTGAACCTTGGGTGGGCAAGTGCTCTACCACATAGCTTTAATTTTACTAATTGTTTATATTGTGCATATGGGTGTTTTGCATGCATGTATGCACTTGCAACACTTGCATGCTTGACTAGAGTGACAGACAGTTGTGAGCAGCTATGTAGATGCTGGGAATTAAGCCCAGGGCCTCTGGAAGAGTAGCTGATGGTCTTAATCACTGAGCTATCTCTTCTAGCCTCCTTTATTTGGTTGTTTGTTTCTGACTGGTCTGAAACTAGCTCTTAGACTAGATTGGCTTCTAACTCAAAGTAATCTGTCTCTGCCTCTTGAGTGCTGGGGTTAAAATCATGTACCATTTGTGCCTGGCTGACAGGTTTTTGAAGCAATCAAATTAGGGAAATCTTGAAGAACAATCAGGGTGAGTCAGGGAGAGTAATAAAACACATGATATGTAAGTGGAGAGGGGAATACCAAGAGCGGAAGGGAACAGGCAGAGGCAGGATGGAAAGATGAGGGGAGGCAGGGTGGGTGTAGAGCAGGGTGTGTGTCAGGGTACCAATCCAAACTTAATACCTATGCATGAATGTGCCATAAGGAAACTTGTTACTTTATTTGCTAATTAAAAAGAGTGATCAATGTGGGTTTATTCATTTGAAATATGGGCTCACTCTGTAGCCCAGGCTGTCGTCAACTGAGGCCTATTTTCTTGCCTCAGCTCTCATAGTACTGCAATTAGAGGCATGTACCACCATGTCTGTGAGCAGTGTCAACGTTCTTTTCTAGGTGCTACAGCTTTAACCCAGTATCTCTCACACACTGAGCATGTGCTCTGCCACCAAGTACACTTCCAACTGAATATAGCTATTATGCTTTTCCTTGGAAAATGACGTATTTAAAATTTGTTTTCGTTTTCTTTTTTTATTTTGTTGTTGTTTATTGGGACGGTCTCATGTAGTGTAGTCTGGTCTCTAATTCTTTTCTGTATCTGAGGCTGACTTTAAACTCCTGATCCTTCTGTCTCTACCCCTCAAAGGTTGGGATTGGACACATTATCACAATGGTTTTTGTTTTTGAGACAGGGTCTTATTTAGTCCCTCTGGCCTTAAAGTCATTATGTTGCTGAAGATGACTTTGAATTCCCGAACCTCCTGTCTTCCCATCCTAAGTGCTATGATTATAGGCAGGTGCCACCAAGCCTGGTGTTGATATGTCTTAATTTGAAAGTTTATTATGTTGTAAACCCTGAGTGAACAGAGTGGTCCAGTTTTAGCCTGCCTGCCAGAGTTTGGGGAAGCGGCTGCCCTACCTCCAATTGTGTTTCGTTGCTCAAGGGTCCTTTTCACTAACATGCACTGGACGTTTATACAGTTGGAAATGATGTTCATAAAGATCTTATTGAGTGTCTACAGTTCTGCTCCTTTGATAATGCAATGGTAATGTGCATTTTGCTTTTACTCAGAACGTAACCGATCAGATTGTCATGTAGTCTGCCTTAGACAGGAAGGACACTATGAAAGCTGTGACTGTCTGCATGGCATGACCTTTCAAAACTGTTTTTTTTTTATTTTGCCAGAATCTCATTTAGCCTTTTTACAGCCACACGATAGAGGAAGTAATAGATAAAGGAGAGTATAAATGTCTGCTTGTTCTCAGTCCAGTTTTCCAGGGGAAGAGGGTGAATAGTCTGTTATATACTTACAGCCTTATGTGACAGCATAGCTTAAGAATTCTTAAAATATTATTATTATTATTGTTATTGTGTGTGTGTAGGAGAGAGGAGAGAGAGAGAGAGAGAGAGAGAGAGAGAGAGAGAGAGAGAGAGAGAGAGAGAATATATGCCATGACACTTCATATTCAGAGGACATCTTTATCCAGTTGGTCCTTTCCTTCCACCTTTATGTGGATTCCAGAGATCAAACTCTGGCTGTTTTCCCTGTTGCTGTAAGTGTCTCTGCCTGCTGGGTTGTCTCACTGGTCCATGTTTGTTTGTTTTAAGATTTTTTTAAAAGATTTTATTTATTATGTATACAACATTCTGCTTCCATGTATATCTGCACACCAGAAGAAGGCACCAGATCTCATAACGAATGGTTGTGAGCCACCATGTGGTTGCTGGGAATTGAACTCAGGACCTCTGGAAAAGCAGTCAGTGCTCTTAACCTCTGAGCCATCTCTCCAGCCTTGCTTTAAGATTATTTTATTTTATTTTTTTTTATTTTTTATTTTTTTGAGACAGGGTTTTGCTGTGTAGCCTGGAACTTGCTCTGTATACCAGCCTGGCTTCGAACTCAGCTTCACCTGCTTCTGCTTCCCGAGTTCTGGGATTAAAGGCATGATCTAACACCACCTGACAATTGATCTTATTTTCTATGTATGAGTATTTTGCTCCCATGTATGTATGTCTGTGCTCCATATGTGTGTCTGGTGCCTACAGAGGTCAAAAAAGGGTGTGGAATTCCCTGAAATTGGAGTTGTGGACAGTTGTCTGTTAGCTGCCATGTGGGTGCTGGCAATCAGCCTCAGGTCCTCTGTAAGAACAAACTGCTCTTAACTGTTGAGCCATGTCTCCATTTTTCCAGCCCAAAGGGTTTCTTTCCTTTTTTTCCTTCCTTTTTTTTTTTTTTTGTTATGCGAGA